ACTAACGGGACAAATTCATTACGATAGGGCAGAGTCAAAATATTCTTAAGTGTAGGAACTTGTCTGGTTTGAGAGGAATGAAAGGATTTTTTAGCCCTTTTAAAGCAACGATCAATAAACACAGAAGGGTACCCAAGTTTCTGTGCAATAGAACGAATGTGTTTCAATTCATCGTCAATAAATTCAGAGTCACAAATACGCAGAATATATGACATTTATATTCAAAATATTCCTGGTCTTACAAGGAATCCAGCAATGTCAATTATATTATCCTAACTTTAATCTGAGGTATTATTTAATACTAAATGTTAAAAACCCTGGAAGGGAGGATTGGTGGGGGGTGGGGGGGAGGGTTGGGACTGACCGTGCGGTTGGAAGAGGGGGGGAGGCAAGGTGGGGTACTTTGATTGACAGATAGTGTTGTGAAGATTATTTATTTTTTATTAACTGAAGATATTTGTTTTAGCTCATAAAATTCATACAAATTACCCGGTCAGAATATAATTTACATTGCTGGAATTCTTATAATTTGGTGATCATTTTGAATATAAACATCATATATTTTGCATTAAACATACAAATTTTAGATAAAAATTTTTCTCTAGGTAACTATGTTATCTTTTGTGCAAAATATATGACATTTATATTCAAAATATTCCTGGTCTTACAAGGAATCCAGCAATGTCAATTGTATTATCCTAACTTTAGTTTGAGGTATTATTTATTAAAATTTAGTGGTTTTCCCCCAAAAATTTCTCTGAGAGGGAAGAGCCAGCAGTGTAGTGTGAGAGGGGGAGGGAGTTGAGTCCATTATTTGAATGGACATTAACTTGGCGACTGTATTTCTCTTAAGTATTAATTGTGTGCATGTACCATCATAAAATTAAGATGTTATTTTTACTACAACATAGGTATGTGCCTTCAAAAAGTGGAGTTTGGGGGTCGGGCCGGTTTCTATTGGAATTAATCCCATATGTTCTGTTGTTCACTTAACGCGGATTTCACTTAACGCGGGACCCTCTGGGTTCAATTGACCGCGTTAAGTGGGGTACAACTGTATATGTATATACATATATATATATATATATATATATACTTCATTTTTAGTCCATATAACACGCGGACTTTGAACATATATAATCAACGACCTCACCAGCCAGGAATCGAACCCTCGACCTACTGGGTCCAGATAAATTAAATGGTCACAATACTGGAATTTTTGTTGCATAAAAGATTCAGTAGCTTGGTAACACAAGGGGTCACAGCTCAAGGTTGAAGAAGCCATAAGTTCAGAAAACTGTGAGGGCAAACTTTTTTTGAAGTGAGAATTTTGAACTCTTGGAACAATCTGCGTGGAGCGTGACCTGTTTCAAGACCAGACTTGACCTACACTTAAGCAGGTACAGATACAATCAGAAGCCAATACAGGTTGTACCTCTCTAGTCCGGGAACCTGACCGGTGCCGGACCATGGAAATTCACCCTTTTCCTGGATAGATAGTGACTTGTGCTTATGCTTGGAAGCACTAGCACCACTTTCTCTGCATCATGGTCTCTTTGAAGACATTGAAGGGTTAAATGTCGTATAGTAGCTTCTCAAATTTCGCGAGTTTTTAATTCTTAACTTATTTTATTGGAACAGAAAAAAATAAATAAATAAAAATTTTGACGGCGGAAACTTGAATTTCGAAGGGGTTGAACGGCCCGCCAACGTGCAGACGACGTGCATAATCGTGTAAACAGCGTTATTTCTCTTATGTACAAAAGATTCATTATTGTTTATTACCGAATGTCTTTTTTATTGAATTAATGTTTGTGTGTGCAAAATGAGCAATACAATTCATTAATAATACGTAGAATATTAAAACACACGAGGAAATGACACAGCATTGTTTTCGTTGATTACATATAAAACTGAAGAAAATAAGACCTTGGCTGTAGCTGTAGTAAAATTAATATGGTTGTTTTAAGTAATCTTATTTAATGTTAACAAATGGAACAATAGAAGTAGCTAACGATAATGGTAAAGAAAAAAGAGAGATCGCGTATGTAAGTGCGCATGCGCACACGTGAAAACATATCGTCATTACTTTACATAAGAATATGAATGCAACACTTATTTACTGTTCATATAAATTTTAATTAATGTTTCTGAATTTGTTTTTATTGAATTAATGTTTGTGTGTGCAAAATTAACAATACAATTTATTAATAATACGTGGAATATTAGAGACGAGACGGCTGCCGGCATTGTTTATGTTAAAGCTTACAAAACCAGTGACTGATTGGTTCTACATATAAAACTGAAGAAAATAAGACCCTGATTTTAGCTGTAGTAAAATTTATGTAAAAAAATTAATATGGTTGTTTGAAGTACCTGTAATGTTATTTAATGTTAATAAATGGAACAATATAAGTAGCTAACCATTAGTGGTAAAAAAAAGTGAGACTGCTTGTATGTAAGTGCGCACATGCGAAAACATATCATTACTCTACATAAGAATATGAAAGCAACACTTATTTACTGCTCATATATATTGAAGGGTTAAATGTTGTACTCTGTATAGACAAGCAGAGAAAGAGAAAGAGAGAGAGAGCAGCCGAACTGCCGGACGTAAACAAACCTTAATTTCCCGCTTTTTTTTTTTTTTTTTTTTTAAGGATTAGCCCACCCGGGCATAGGTCACTGGCCCACATTGGGGCCTGAGGGGCAAAAATTTAATATTCCTGTAATAATAATAATAATTCAGATAAGTAAAAAAAAAAAGAAAAAAAAGCTGCCTATCTACCTATTGGACAAACTAAAATCGTTCCGGACCACGGGAGTTTCCAGACCACAGAATGCCGGACTAGAGAGGTACAACCTGTACATGACCAGTACTTCCCAACACTGTGTAACAGA